TGGTGGAGACCGGCCCAGGTCTCAAAAAGGTTGCCGGTCCCTGCACTAAAGCATAGCAGTGTGTAGTATAATACATAATTGGTCAAGATCAGTTGACAGTCATTAAATAGTAAGGATACAAATGGCAATGTGGTAGTTAGCATGTTTGACACAGGACAAGAGCCCTGAGAATCTATGAAAAAGAGAAAAAGGGAGATGCATCATGTTCCCGAACATCAAAAGTACACTAGCTCAATATTGTCCAGCCATTCTCTATAGCAGGGGTAGGCAACCTTTCCTCTTTAAGGGCCGAGGGACTTCAGCTCCCAGAAGCCTCAGCCATGTTGGCCAATAGTCCCATGTTGGCCAATAGTTCCTGGGAGTCTGGGAGCTGAAGTCCCTCGGCCCTTAAAGGGGAAAGGTTGCCTACCCCTGCTGTATAGCACCAAAAGGAAATGTTTCATCTCAGACTGAACAAACCAGTTCTAGCAATTTTCCTAAGTATTTCCTAAAGCTTGTTGTTGTTGTTTGCCTTCAAATCATTTTGTACTCATGGTGACCCTAGGATGAGCCTATCACAGTTATGTAGAAACAAGTCAACTGACCCAGACTCAAGTTGGACTCAAGTCACCTCAATGACTCAACTTGAACTCAACTCAGCAATAAGTGATGCACTTATTGTTGACTTGGCTGGACTTGGGACTTGTATATTTTTAAGGAACGACTTGCTGACATCATTCAGTTTGAGCAACAGGGAAGACCCATGGGACACGTTTCTCAGAGAGGAACAGCAGGTGCATTGCTTAGGCAATGGGCTTCAGGTGGAAGAACCCTTTTAAAACTTTTGAAAAGCTTTAAAAGGCTCCTCGGATTTACATCAGGGACAGGCTGCTGAGCAGACTTCAAGCCCAGTATTTATCACACTTGCTGTTTCCCTCTGAGAAAGGCACCTCACCTCCTTTTTTCTGTGAAAAAGTTTGCTCCCAGACTTGAGACTCAACTTGAAACTTGAAGGTAGATACTTGAGACAGAGTAAAAGACTTGAATACATCACTGCCTATCAGTGGGGATTGCTAAATTATTCCCTATGTGAGAAACCATTCCAAAAAAAAATATATCAATTTTCTCAACAGAAGTAAATAATATTTTTAAGAAAAATGTTATCATACATTCCTGTATTTTTTTTTCCCACTCAGAAAATAAGAGACGGAAGGAGACAATGGGGAGAAGTCGAGAATTTTAATTCTGGAGTCCCACCACAGGAACATCCATTTTGTAAATGCTAATGAGCTAGACAGAATGTCAGCTCTCCCATTTTGATATTCCTGGATGTTGTCAGTCAGTGCCACGGTGTTAAGTTATTTTGATTATTTGATGTCAGTTTGTTTTATGTAAATGCCAACACTAGTATTCACATTTCATTATCAAAATATGCTCAGCCAGGCTCTGAACACTAGCTGTTCATACAAATTTGGGGACAAGGAGGTCCATGTTAGCATTGACCAGGTACTAATATTTTTCAAGAACAAATAGTGTCATGGACAACAAGAGATGAGACTGCGCCAATATCACTTCCCAAGAACTGGTATATACTGAAGAGAAATTGCAATTACAGCTAACTGAAATCATTAATAGTGAGGCAAAGGGAGGCTTTTCGAATCATTCAACAGCAACAATTTTGCAGCCTTTCACAACAATCGTATATGAGTGTGTGTTTGTATATACACTCATCTCTCTGTGTGTGTGTGTGTGTGTGTGTGTGTGTGTGTGTGTGTGAAACATTAGAAGCATTTCTTCTTCATTGCTAGCCCATCATCAGTGGCCTAAAGTGATTTGCAACAACAAATACGAAAACTTGCTTTAAGAACAGTTTAAACACAATTTCAAAAGGTCAATTTTAAGAAGCAAAGGCTATATGGATTCATACAGTTTTAACCACCCACTGAAAGCTCGGCACAGATGGAGCCATCCTGGTTTCCCTAGAGAGATTTACACACACAAGGAGCTGCTACAGAGAATTCCTTATCTTATATACTCAGTGTGTCTGTTGTAAAGCTCATGCTTATATACTTATATGGGAAGAGATGTGCTTTCAGACACTTCAGCCCTCCACTGCTTCTCCCTCCTCTCCTTTCCTTTTCTCCCATGATCTTTCCCACTTTCAGAGCTTGTACTGCAATCTCCTAGTATTCAGGGAACTGTTTTTTGCTTACAAAATTCTAATGTCTTATTTTGTAGAAATGCATAAATAATATATCTTTCTGGTGTTGCCTTTTTTGCCTGACGTACTCCAGTGATTAAGGGGGGGGAAAGACTATTCAAAAATTCAACTGGAACATGAGGCCATTTTTCTCCCTTATAAGACCCATCTGCTTGCCAATTTCATTCATTTCAGCAATATCTAGAACGTTCTTCAATAATTCGGAAACAGCTGGGCTATTTGCTGTTTTCCCATACTGAGCCAAGACAATATTTGTTACCATCAATACATTCCTTGATGCAATTAAAACATAAAGCTTCGGCTGCATGCCAATGCCTGCTTGCAAGTTTACTTTTTTGTGCTCTTAAAATCATATGGTCATGAACATGGTCATGTGAGATAACAAGAGATAGGAAACAGTGGTTGTTAATGGCTTACACTGTGATTTCTAGAAGTAGATTTCTAGATTTCAGATTTCAGAAAAGGAGTAGCTAGACAATAGCCATGATCTTTTGGCTCATGTATGATGTTCACTACAGGCAGCACACACTCCCTATTATTTGTATAAACAAAAAAAAGTTATAATTAAAGAAGTTACACTAAAAATCAGGGGAGGTTAAGCCCATTGAAGAATCAAACACTATCTGTACCAAAACCATCAAACCTACACGACCCCTATTCCAACCTAAACTTAGAGACGGTTGAGGAATTTGATCATTACCAATTCTGATACTAGGAGGCCAGTCCCACTTACATTTACATCGGTTTGAGAATTGTGTTGATACCACGTGGCTGAAGCGATTGAAGCCGAGGTGTAGTTCCCACTATGGAAGTAAATTGTAGCAATGGCACTAGTAGTTCTCACTAGTGTCATTTGCACCACTTCTGGGAGGGGACCAGCACTGGGGCAGTAGGGCCCCAATCCAGGAAACTCCAGGAGGAGGAAGAAGAGGAGGAGGAAAAGGAGGATATGGGGAGGAAGAAGAGAAAAGGGAAGAAAAGGAAAAGTGGGAGAGGAGGAAGAAGAGGAGATGGAAGAAGGCCACCACCATCACTGATTTCCACCCAGCAAGGGAGACCAGATAAGAGACCAGGCATTGATTCCCAGCCTGCCCGCTTACCTGCCCATCCAGCCGCCAGCTCACTCAGTGCATGATTTTCTAGGAGGAGGCGGATGCGTCCTTGGCAGCTGAGCGCCTGGCTCATGCAGCTGAGTGGCCCAATTCTTCACTTCCAGGGGCAGTCTTGGAGATGTCTCATCCACCGGGTTGTCATGAATTGAGGTGGACTCAGAGGTAGTTAAGAACGACTGTTTGCTTTTTTTACAATGCAATCCAGGTCTGTCATTCACACTTGCTGAAAATGGATCTGAATCAATTCCGCCCCCCCCCCCCAAAAAAAGAAAAAATGCCAGAAAACTACTCCTCAAAAATTAAGGGGTTTTTTTTCCTTCCACCCACTTATACATTCTCTTTACTACTTGCTCTCACCTTCAGGAAGAAGGAGGAAGAGAAGATACAGGATGAAGGAATTGGCATGGAATAGGAGGAGCAGGGAGGAGGGTTAGTAAAGGAGGAGGAGATTGTAACAGAAAGGGATGATATAAGAATGAAGATTTTTAAGGGATATAGAGTGATAAGGAATGAATGGAGAATGATGATGGTGTTTTGGGTGGGGAAAGGTATATGAGATGAACAAACATATATTACGACTCTAAATAGTAAATATAGTAATCGTAGAATGTATAACAACTGTGTTTATGTTCTTTGTTTAAAGATGGACTGATTTATTGTTTAAATAAATAAAATTTAAAAAATAAAAAATGCAGGGGTTTTTGGATTTGTCGCAGTTCAAAGCGACTCCAAATGATCGCAGTTGCTTCTGAAACCACTCAAAATGGGAACGAGGCACAAATACTGTAAATCATAGTGGGAACAGGTCCTAGATCTGATCCATGTCAACCTTCAAATCAAGATGCTAATTTTACTTGTGTTCTCATCTCAAAAGAGCATATAATAATTTCAAAAATGTGTGTTTTGAGAACAAAACACATATATATTCAAATGTGAATTTTCATGCAGACTTTTTTTTTCTTAAATCACTGGTGACAAGAACAAGGTCTTAGCAGATTCACTCATGCCTACACTGAACATGCTTAGTTGGGTTCATAAAGGCCATTGGTATGCTTTAGAGAACAGCATATGAAACTCTTTTCATGAATAGGCCAGATGTAAAACATATAAATAGACAGTGAGGTACATTGAAGGTGATCCAGCAGCATTGTATGCAAACACACATCTCACTTAGAGAGCCAGTGTGGCGTAATGGTTTGAGTGCTGGACTACAGCTCTGGAGACCAGGGGTTCGATTTCCAGCTGAGCCATGAACCCCACTGTGTGATCTTGGGCAAGTCACACTTTCTCAGCCTCAGGGGAAGGCAATGGCAAACCTCCTCTGAACAAATCTTTCCAAGATTTCTGAGTTGCTGTAAGTCAGAAATGACCTGAAAGCACATAACAACAACAACAACATATCCCACTTAGTTCTAACAGGCTCCTGCATTGGCTAACAAAATATGTAGGTGTTGGTCTTATCTCTACACAACAGAAAATCTTTTACTCCAAGTCTCAAGTCTCTACCTTCAAGTCTCAAATCCTTGCAATATACCTTCATGTCAAGCCTCAAGTTGAGTCTCAAGTTTGGGATCCAACTTTAACAGAAAAAAAGGAGGTGGGGGGCATATGGCAGGTGGAGTTTCAACAACTAGAAAATCAAGAACAGGGGTAAGCAACCTTTCCCCTTTAAGGGCCGAGGGACTTCAGCTCCCAGAAGCCTCAGCCATGTTGGCCAATAGTCTCATGTTGGCCAATAGCTCCTGGGATTCTGGGAGCTGAAGCCCCTCGGCCCTTAAAGGGGAAAGGTTGCCTACCCCTGATCAAGAAGATATGCACCAGGTTTGGTAAAAATAAAGAATTCTCAGGGGGGAATGGCAAACGAATTAGGCAACAGGCTTGAGGTGAAAGGAAACTTCTAAATCTTTTGAAAGGCTTTAGAAGGCTTCTCCGATGTGCAGCAAGGGCAGGCTGCTGAGCAGACCTTAAGTCCTGCCTCAAGCCCATTGCCTAATGTGTTTGTGGTTTCTGAATGAAGTTAGGCCAGCAAGTCTCAAGTCAAGTCAGTGCATGATTTATTACCAAGTAGAGTAACTGAGGTGACCTGAGCCCAAATCAATTGACTGGAGTCTACATCACTGTCCAAAGCTTCTCTTGCTGCACAAGGCCACTAGGTTCCTCTCTGTTCTGCTTTCCTCTGCAGGGCCCCAAAATTTTCAGACCATTAAAAGGGAGGGAAGGAGGGAGGGACTCATAAGAGGAGTGGAGAGTTAACAGAGGGGAAAATGAAAGGAGCATAATCCTAGCAAGAAAGGGAAAGAGAGGTAAGAAAAGAGAAACAGCAGGCAGACTAACCCACATGAATTTGGTATGAATAAGTAGCAGGAGAGAAAAGTCAATGAAAAAAGAAAACAAAGTGGAGGTGAAGGAACAGAAGAGAAATAGCAGATTGGAAGGATTAAAAGGCTGCTGACCTGGGTAAAGCTAGGGAAAAAATAAATGAACAGGCAATATATATCTCTAGACTAAGTGATCATCTTATTTGCTGGAAATACTTCCACCTCACCAAAACCAAAAACCCTACAGACCAATCCTTAAGCATACAACAGAAGCAAAACTTCATCTTGACAAAAGAGAAACTTTTGCTCATCCAGTATGTCAGAACATCTGGGCGGGCTGCATCATTGCTCTCAAATAGCATTTCATTCAGAGTCTTCTCATTAATTCAGACAAACTACACAGCCCTCCATACTTGGTTAAACTTTATTCTGCCTATTAATAATCTGTGCCCGATGAAACTTCAGTACAGGTGCACATGGGTTAGTAATCACACTGTTCTATTTCACATGCAGATTAGTCTTACCTGAATCTGCATAAATTTGTTATGCATCACTGGAGAAATGAATGCTCAAGCAACTTTTATTTTTATCTAATCAGGAAAGAGACTAATGAAAAACGAGCAACTGAGTTCCTAAAATGTACTAAAGGTGGACTCAGGGGACTTTGCCTGCCTCACTGGGACAAAGCACAAGCCTCTCCAGCCTTGAACTGCAAGGACTGTAATCCACAAAGGGGAAATCAATTTTTGCCCTCTCATTCCTACAGGCATGAGTGAAGGACAGCTTCATCTTGGATCTTGTTGTGTTTATCTGTAACTACTGTTCTTCAATGGATCTCTAAAAGTAAAGACCAGAATGCAAACATTTCTAGGGTTTGGTGCATTAGGCATTCCTTTGATTAAAAGCAGTTCCACACAGATGCTGCAATCATACCATATCACAGTAGTGAACAACATATGCCTGTCCATTCTTAAAGCTCTCAGACCCTTCTTGATCTCCATCTCCTGACTGAAACAGTTGGCCTACAAACTTAGAATGCCTCCTCAAAATGCAGAATTGCTTCCAGTAGCAGCATTTTCCTCTAAAGCAAGGCAAAGCCCTTTGCTCCAGTGAAAAATAGCATTTTGAACGTAGGGTTTTTTAAAAATTTTAAAAAAAAGTTTGATCACTTGTAGTCAATAAAATGTTTAAAAATCTATTTGGGGGGGTGAAACCCATAGAGGGCATTCAGAGAGCATACTCAGAACCACTGAGGTTGCCCACCCCAATCTATGATAATTGAAAGTACAAAGAATCATAGAATCATAGAGTTGGAAGAGACCCCAAAGGCCATCAAGTCCAACCACCTTCTGTGCAGGAACACAGAATCAAAGCACCTCCGACAGATGGCCATCCAGCCTCTATTTAAAAGAAAGGAGGAGACTCTGCTAAACTCCGACAGAAGAGTGTGTTCCACTGTCAAACAGCTCTTACTGGGTAACTCTGTTCTCTCCTTTAGGTTCTTTGAGCAATCCCAGCTTTGAGAGATTGTAGCTCAGGGGTAGGCAACCTTTCCTCTTTAAGGGCCAAGGGACTTCAGCTCCCAGAATCCCAGGAGCTATTGGCCAACATGGGACTATTGGCCAACATGGCTGAGGCTTCTGGGAGCTGAAGTCCCTTGGCCCTTAAAGGGGAAAGGTTGCCTACCCCTGTTGTAGCTCTTATCTGAATCAATAAAACAGTCATCCTCTGCAGTTTTGTTCATACCACTTTCCTTCTCCCTTGGCCACTTCATCACATCTCCTTTATGGTTCCCATACTACATTCCAGTACTCATTCATATGATTATCCACTCATGTTGGCTTTAGACAACATCCTTCCTCCTTTCTTTGCCCCCCAACAGCCATTATTAAAATTGAAGTTGTCACCTCATCTCCATACCTACATAGTTTAGCATTTCTATTGCCATTCTCTCACACAGCCTGCTTACATTGGTCTATCTCTGGACCCTCCATTCTACCCCATGCATTTGAGGAAGTAGGCTCAAGTCTAGGAAAGCTCAAGCTACCAGCGTTTTTCTTTCAGTTAATCTCACAGGTGCTACAAGATGCCTTTACATGCTGGTTTCCTTCGCCTCCATAAAGCCTGACAAACTGGAAGGACACATTGTTGCTTTTCATCTGACTACCAAAGATAACCTCTTGAGTGCATCAGATTGTGTGTGAACTCTAACAGAGTATTAGAAACAGAGGCTTGATGGAACAGACCAGGGGTAGGCAACCTTTCCCCTTTAAGGGCCGAGGGACTTCAGCTCCCAGAAACCTCAGCCATGTTGGCCAATAGTCCCATGTTGGCCAATAGCTCCTGGGATTCTGGGAGCTGAAGTCCCTCGGCCCTTAAAGGGGAAAGGTTGCCTACCCCTGGATCAGACCAATGGCTTAACTAGTCCAGCATTTTGTTGCCACAGTGGCCAAGGGAATGCCCACTAGTAGGATGTGTTCCCCAAATCTTGTGCTTCCCAAAACTTATTACACTTAATTGGACATGCTGACTGGGATGGAAAGAAGGTGTCCCTATTCTGCTGTTGACTGCAATAGGTAATCTTTAGCCATTGTGCAAATTCTAGGCCTGCCCAATGTTTTTTCTACTATTACACATCCATACAATATAATGTCAAGGTCTTAGAATTAAGCAAGACCAGATCCTCAACACAGCTTGTACTTGTACATTGTGAGTACCTCATTCTATCAAATTAGCCTTGCTCACAGTAGTATATAAATGTGGGGTATCAGCCCTGAACTCACTTCAGATTTGTTTACACGTCAAAAAGAGAAAGTCAAAGTCAGAGAACTAAAGGAAACTCAGGGGCTCTTAAAGTACTTCTTCATCATCATCCTGAGGTGCTTGATCATGTAAGCATGTATACAAAAACAAGTTTCTTTTCTCAGTTGGGTAAAAGTTACAATTCCACAGTAAAATGGATAGTTGGCTTTTACATGCACTTCCTTCCTCTTTTAAGATTCACTTTTGTATATTTTTAATTGCATTGTTCTTTTAAATTTTGAGCCATTTTGAGTCCCAGTTGTGGGTGGGGGAAGTGAGATATAAATAAATACAACAACAATAATTTGATGGCTATCTAAATAAGTGAATTGGCTCCACATAAAAACCCAATGAATTTCAGCTGGTTAAGTCATCAGATGATGATATAGTGAATTAGCAATAAACATATAAATCATCCAACCATTGTGTGTGCACACATAAGACCAAGAGAGAAACACCAAGGTGGTACAACTGAAATATTGCAGATTCCCATTTTTCTTCTTCTTCTTCTTTCTTTCTTTTAAAAGAGGAGGAGGAAGCTTTACATTGAGCAATGAAAGCTGCAACGTCAAGCAGAATGTTAAAAAAAAATGGCCTCTTCAGACAGAAACATGTCAACACTCCTGAAAAATGTCTCCCTTGGCTAGTAACATAACATATTCTTAGTCTACCTGATAGCAGGAAGACCTTTTTATTGGGATACATACATTTCAGATGTTAGTATCATGGAAATACACCCTGGAAAAAGACTAGATTCTTTTCTCTCTCTCTCTCTCTCTCTCTCTCTCTCTCATTCTCTCTGGCTGCATCTGCTCTGCAGAAACAATTCAGTTTGACACCAGTTTAACTGCCATGGTTCAGTGCTATGGAGTTCAGGGATTTGTAGTTTGTTGTGGCACCAGTGCTCTCTGAGAGAGAAGACTAAAACTACAATTTCCAGAATTCTATACCATTGAGTCCTGGCAATTAAAGTGGTGTCAAACAGGATTATTTCTGCAATGTGGATGGACCATCTCTCTCTCTCTCTCTCTCTCTCTCTCTCTCTCTCT